CATGGAACACATTCCACTTGGGGCTTCTATGTTTCATATATTAAGGTTTCCTGGCCCCATGGGTGTCTTTTGACTGGTTTTTAGTGGCAGTGCTGAGGGGTATGCTTCTCCCCCATTTCTCACTTATCACATAACTGGGGCAGTAATGCCAAGAAGGATATTTGAGTGACTTTTACTTTCTAGATTCTGAAAATTCACAGCTTACTAATTGTGGTTGACAAGCATCTTTCTGAGAACTGTACCTGAACATTCTCCATTTCCAAATCTAAGCAATTTTTAGTAGTCTTGGTGTGTGGTTTTTGGGGAATGAACCAAGGGGTGCTTTATCACTGAGCTACATCCCCAGTCCTTTTCATTTTTTTAAAAAAAATATTTTTGCAGGATCTTGCTAGATTGCTAAGGCTGGCCTCAAATTTGCAGTCCTCCTGCCTCAGCCACCCAAATCACTGGAGTTCCAAAAGTGTACCACCATGCCTGGCTTTTTGTGTTTTTAGAAAAGAAGAAGAGAAAAATACATCAGTTCATTTATTTGAGAAAGTAGTCTAGATATTTATCTAATTTTTCACAGTCGGCTTTAGTCCACTAACTAGAAATGAATAATAATTACTTCTTAGTTTCACTGATGTCAAAATCGGTTCTATTAAAAAAAAGGCTTTAGTAGATAATTTATAAGGTGTAATGTTAACTGACTTCAGTAATTTACAATCTTTTAACCTTATTTTTTTAATGATAAGACTTTATAAACTTAATGTTTAAAATGAAGTTTTCTTTAAATACATCTTCTTTTATTCATAATGGAAATGATCCAGGAAACATGTGCCTTAAGGGAAATCCCATGAAATCCTTTTTTCTGGGTAGAACATATGAGAAAAGCACTGGTTGGCTATTAGGAATAACATCTATCTAAGATCCCACAGCACTTTTGTTATTTATTGCAAAACTCAATGAGTAGAGTTTTGCAATATTTTACACTAAGAGTTTAGGCAACCTTAGGGGTTTGTCAAAATCCACAAAGGTTTTCTGCAGTGTACATTTCTGTAGCTCAGATTTTCATCGAGGGCAAATTCAATGACAATAATGACAATTGTGTCAGATCTAGTTCTCAGGAAGGGCTCTGATGAAATCATTCACAGCGGATGTGAAGGAAGGAGAAAGCTCGATGGCATTCTCTTTTTCTTCAGCAGTAAGCCTGGGGTTTTGTCGTTGTAACTGAGAACATGAGAGCTCTCTGTATTTTAAAGGATAGTGCTTCCAAAACAGAAATCCATTTACTAATATTTAGTAAGGGATATTAAGAAATACTTTGATTAAAACCACACTGCGAAACAGGGAACTTCAATGAACTTTTCTGAACTCTCGACCTCAAAGGAAGGAAACCAACTAACCAATAACGATAAGCTGTAGGGGAGGGAAAGGATCCATAACAGATTCTGAGTCAACAGTGTCACGACTCAGCGTCTTGAGGGTCAATTAAAACGAGGCTCGTGGGTTGCAGGTCAAGCGGCATTTCATTGTAAAAAGGTGGGAACTTCCTGTTCCATGCCCGAGTTTTTGAGAATTTCTACCAGATCTCAGCAGAACTCCCCTTAAAAACAGTGCCCTAGCGAGGCGTGGTGGCGAACGCCTATAATCTCAGTGACTCGGTGGGTAAAGCAGAAGGATCGTAAAGTTCGAGGCCAGTCTCAGCAATTCAGTGAGCCTCTCAGGAACTCAGCGAGATCCAGATGCAAAAAAAAAAAAAAAAAAAAAAAAAAAAAAAGCCTGGAGATGTAGCGCATTAGCACAGTGCCCTGGGTTCAACCTCCAGTTAGCAAACAAACAAAGCCAAGCCCTCCGTGAGAGTCCTGCGAGTTGTCAGGAACGGTCGGACATACTTCACCACCCTTCCCTTCCACCACTGGCCCCGACAGCTTCGGCTCAGGTCTGTTTCTATCAAGGCGCAGGGAGTACCAAGACAAAAGAGCCCCTCGTGGCCTTCGGAGCCAAGCTCGGTCTAGAGGCTTCTGCGCGGTGAGAACACACGATATTTTGGAGAGAAGCACCGTGCAGCTCGGATCTTTAGTTACCGCTATGCGAACACATGGTTTTCGACCTAGTTTTTCTGTGTGTGTGTGCGTGTCTTTCGCGACGCCATCTCGCACTCCAAACCCTCTAGTGCGCATCGCCAGGAGGTTGTGCTGAGCGCCAAGAGGGAAAAGGGTGGAGAGTGCTTGGGATCCGTGGGCTGCGCGGGCGCCTGGGCGGCGGAGATAAAGCAGGGTAAACAGGCCTGGAGGCGCACAGGCGCGGACCGCCTGCAGACCCGCCCGCGGACCCGCCCCAGACATACACCACCTACCCAGCCTCGCCGCGGGGCGGGGCTAGGAGGACGCGCCACGGCGCGCCACCAATCCACAGTGCCGGGAGGATTCAAAAGGCCGAGGGGCCAATGTGAGCCCTGGACGGTCTCGCTGGGGGCGGGGCGGGGCGGGGCGGGGGAGGCGCGCGGCCGCCTCGGGACTGCGGGGCGCGAGAGCGCGGCCCGGCAGCGTCGCGCGCGCGGAACCGCCTCCGGGTGGCTGCTGGGCGACTCTCCCGGAGCGGTTCGTGTTCCCGCCGGGTCCCGGCGCAGGTGAGTACCCCGACCCGCGCCCGCCCCACTCCCAGCTTGTCGCTGCCCGCGGTGCGGCTTCGGAGGGGTAGCGGGGTAAGACCCCCGGCGGGTCCGGGTTCCTGGGCGCTGGGCCTGGATCGGCAGCCTTGTCCTTCCTCGCCTCTTGGCGTCCTCCTTGTCTGACGGTCTGATGGTCTGTTGGTCTATTGGGACGACGGCTGGTTAGGCTGCAGCAGAGCCGGGCCGGGCCGGGCCGGACAGCTGGCTGCGGAAATGGTGCTGCGGGTTTTAAATTGCGGACGTTTCCCTCCATGTTGGACGCGCGCTTTGGTGTGACAAGGTGTTGGCGGGGAGGGCTGGTGGGACCCTTTGTCCCGCCCCGACGCGTCCGGCGTCTGGTCCCAGGGAGCTCCTCGAGACAGATAAGCGGGGTGCTTGGCGCTCGTGCCCCTCGGGAGGCAGGAATGGCGCGGCGGCCCGGTAGGACCGGGAAGTTGGGTGCACAAATTGGCTCTGCGTGGGGCGGGTTGTCACTGGCTTGGACAGTTGTGAACAGGACAATTTGATGACTTAAGGCGAGTTATAGGGCTTCACTTGAAAAACGTTGAATTCTGTCACCCGGACAGTCTGAAAAACAGGCATTTAGGCCGATTGGTATGCTCCTGCTAAAGCACGATCCTGCTTTTTCACATATTTAAGGCTTTAAAAATGTTCTTTTCATAGTGACAACAGACTTCGTACTTACAGTGGCTTAAGGGGCACTTAGTAAGCACTTGATTGTAGAGGGCCTTGTTCCAGGAGCTTCACCAAAGAGATTAGGAGGTCTGAAGAGGAGTCACAGTGCCTGGCCATTTTGGGGGAAGGACAAAGTAGTTAGGCAGGACCACTATGTGAACGACTCAGTGGTTCAGCCTGCAGCCAATGTGCTCACTCACCTGCTGCGTGAGGCACTGCCCCTGGGCAAAGCCAGAGTGGACAGATTTCTTTGGACTCTGCACACTAACGCGTGTATGTCTGTAGTTACACACTGTAAAGAGAAGAGCAGTGGGACCCCTGGGTATCAAGTCCGGTTTAAGTTTAGTTTGGGCCTTTGTCTGGGGGGGAGGGAGGGGAAAGAATGAGTAGGAGGGAATGGTGAGTTGCCTTTGCGTATTACTTAGGGAAGATTGCATTACTAAAGGGAAGGTGGCATTTCTGTGGCATGGTTTAGCACGGGAGTACACCAAGGCCAGGGGTCCTGTTTGCATTTTACCTACTAAGCCTTCAGTGGGCTCAAGTATTGAAGGAGCGCTAACAAACTTCCTTTGAACTTCTTTTTCTCTGCTGCAGTTAGATTGATTTGGAAAAGTGAAGGAAAGATGACCAGAGACCCTTGTAACACTCATCAGTAGAGAATAGCAGCAGAGAATCCTCATCTTGATAAATAGTAACACACTGGAACTGAAATATGTGAGGATTCTAGTTCCAATTGACACTGAAGTTAGCCAGCATCTGGCTTAAAGAGAAAAGCCTGAGGGTCCGATCTCTGGTCTTTGAAGATTGAGGACACTAGGTAAACAATCTTTGCAGATGCTTTTGGCTGAAACCCTTGGAGGCCTATCTATGTATCTTGACTTTGTTAGGTGAGAGCTTAATGACACATAAATATGCATAATGACCCATAGTGTCTTGGATCTTTTGTATCCTATTCTGGTTATTTCACTCTTGCAGGAGATTATATTAAGATATGATTTCATCATAGCACCACATTTGGCATTTGGGTGTGGATCTTGTGCAAAGTGTGGATGCCCATAATGTTTCTGTCTTTAACTTTTGGAAATTGATAGAAAAAAAACATTCTCCTAAGGAGCCTGCTGGCTTCTTTTGTTTTCCCGACCACAATAAGAAAGACCACTGTCAAGCCTCAGTTTTCAATTAAGTTTTTGTGTGTGTGTGTGTGTGTGTGTGTGTGTGTAGTACCGGGGATGAACCGAGAGCCTTGTGCATGCTAAACACAAGCTCTCCTACTGAGCTACATTCTCAGCCCTGTTAAGTCTCTTGTTTTGTTTTAAATTAAGCTTAGAGACTCAAAAGATACCCACCAGATGTTCTAATTGAATTAAAAATATATATCTCATTGATAACAGAAAAACCTTTTTGGCGTTGACCTATATTCAGAATTGCACAGATGTTGTTAATATGGTATATACTAGGTACAATGGAAAAATGCCAATGAATGAAATTTTCAAAAGGGGCGGAAAGAATCTGTTCAAGTGTCTTTTTAAAATGCAGTCAGGTAGTCCCAAAGTCTTGAAAGTCCTGTTTCAAAAGTTTATAAAGTGTTCCTTTATGCGTACTTGCCCTTTTTCACCTTGGTTGACCAATGTAGGAGAACTACTACTAATAAAGAAGGTTTGACGAAGTGTGATGGAGGGGGGCACAAGAGAAGAAAGAAGAAGGGCACATTTCCTTCCTCTTTTTTTTTTTTGTACTTGGAGGCTCTGAGCTCAGTGTTGAAATTGGCAAAGCTGCTGTTATCACCTTCCCTTTTTGTGCCCCTCCTCCTCTGCACAGGTGCCTCCCCCTTCCCAAGTGCCTTTTAGGTGACTCCTCAGCCAGAGCTGACTTCATTCCTAAAGCTTCTGGGTTCTTCTCCCCTCTCTAAGCTCAAACCTATTTATTATCTCAGAAATGCTATCTCAGGTATTAGGAAGAAAACAGTCTCTTTAATGTGCCAATTGACTGACATCCTCTAATCACCAGATAAGTACTTGCATTTTCTTTCATACCAATTTAGAGACAGTCTGTCTAAACAAGTGAAGCTTGTTAAGTTTTTTCTCACATGATTAACAATGAAGAAATGTACTTAGGAAAGACTTTTTTTCTCAAAAGGGGTAAGTAATGCAACTTTCTGTTGCTGTTACTGTTGGGTAACAGCTCTTGTTAGAAGTCGGTGAAGAATGTATATTTATGTGCTTGGATGATGTATTGAGAATTGCTTAGTTGGTGACACGAAGAGGGAGAGAACACATTTCTCTTGCTATCTTCATTTGGTGGTAGAGATGGGTCAGAAGCACTGGTCTTGTCATTGGAATTGTGAATCTGCTGCTCAGGGGATGGAGAAACATCACTAACTAGGAGCTGGAAGCTCCCAACCCTCAAGTGATATTTCAAAAAGAGGGGCAAAAAACGGCGATTCTTGAAGGTTGTGGTTTCTTGAAATGTAAATGAGACTTCACGGATGGTGTTTTGATGTAGTGGGAAAGAATGTTCTCACTGGGATTTTGATGTCTGCTGTAGTCTGAAGAGAGAGGAACTTGGATGAAGCCCAGGTCCATGCTGGTCTAGGTAGGTGATTGATGTGCAGTTACTTGTGATGCTTTTGGTCTTCAGTTCTAAGATTTGAACTTTATGAAATAAACCCCAAATTTACTCTCCATTGTAGATTTGGAATAATTGTTCCTTCTGTTGAGTAAGGTAATTTATTAAAAATGTAATTAAATGTATTCTTTAAACCTTTGAAAGATAATGCAGACTTACAAATCAGAAAATGTTTCCTTTGTAAGATCATGCCCTAATTTTTGATGACTGTAGGTGGATAGCATTTTGCATAGTAAAACTGTTTGGTGCCTGTTATGTGTTGTCATTATTAATCCTTAGTGTCAGTTACATGTATTACAGTGGTCAAGTCATCCTTTATGTAGTGATTCCAAATGAGATACAATGAAACTGAAAGGACAGCTTCTATGTTGTCCTGCTATTTCACTCACATTTTTGTGCCCTAGGACAAAACAGTTATCTACAAGCTTCAGTTTTCTCATCTTAAGGAGTTGTTACACTCTCTCCTTTGGAGGCCTTCTTGGCCCTAAAATCTTGACAAGCTAACAATTCTGGAAAGTTGTATTTTAGTGATCAACCTATGAAAAAAGACAAGTATAAGCATATCTATTGACTCAGTTTTTTTTTCTCTTTAAAATTGTTTAGACTAATTTTAGAAAATGCCAAGTAGGAAATTTGCCGATGGTGAAGTGGTAAGAGGTCGGTGGCCTGGGAGTTCACTTTATTATGAAGTAGAAATTCTGAGCCATGACGGCAAATCCCAGCTTTACACCGTCAAATACAAAGATGGAACTGAACTTGAATTGAAAGAGAGTGATATCAAGGTAAGAGCTCCTTTGGTTTGCCAGGAAATGGGAATAACTATAGGTATGGTTTCTAAGTTCAGGGTAGCCTACCTGACTGTTGGGAGGTACATGATCAAACTCCTGCTTTGGGTCACATATTGTTTTTGGCCCTGGGAATGTATGAATGAGGCACAGGGCCTGGTTTCCAAGAAGCTGTAGGCTCCTGGGGAAGACATATCTTTACCTAGACCGTCTCTGGGTTTGATCCATTCTGAGGCTGGAGTTTTCCATGGGTGGTGTGAGTGTAGAAGGGTAGGGAAGGGCCCTGGGTTTCATGGGAGGCCTTCTGAGACCAACACCCAAGCTGTGTGCTAAGAACAAATGTAAAAAAACTCAAGTAATGTGGAGATGGCTTCTGCAGAAAGGGCTGCATACCAAAGGCTTGGCGGGTAGTAGGATTCACATGTGCCCAAGTGCCAGAAGGATGTGGCATTTGGGGGACAAAAGAAGGGTAGCAGGAGCCAGACTGGAGGAATTTTTAATATTCCATTCCAGGGGTTTGGACTTCATCCTAAACACTGAGGATGTCATCAGGAAAGTGACATTAATTAGATTTGAAACCGGTCTATGGCTTTTCCACCTATCTAGTGAGGACTCTGGCTTTAAAATAAATGATCCATTGGGTATAAATATTTATATCAGATGCCATAAAACTGGATTATTAGGACTCTAATAAAAAGATTACAAAGTTTTTATTTAAGTCCATAGACATGAAATGATTTTGTCAGAATGCTATAAAAATATCTATACATCTAGTCTGTTTTGTTGCAGATCAGTAACAAATAGTTTGGATCAATGGCCTGTGGACCATGCTTTGTTGCTCTAGTAAATATTTTAGGCTTAATAGGCCATGCAGTTTCTACAGCTCCAGGCAGTATGGAAGGAAAAGGAAGTAGCTGTGTCCTAATAACACTTTATTTATGGACACTAAAATTTGAATTTCAGATAATTTTTATATCAGGAAATATTCTTTTTGATTTTGTTTGCAGTCATTTTAAGAGATGTAAAAGCCATTCTTAGAGCTCAAGAGCTACTACACACACCAAAAAAATGAGTGGTTTGTATTTGGCCTAAGGCCTAGCTTGCAGTCCCTTGGACTAGATCCCTAGGAGCAATGGAAGAGTGATTTGGAGTAGGTTAGTACAGGGTAAAACTGTGCCAAGTAATCCAAACTTGTATTTTGTCCTCAAGATCTACTTGTGTGTTTTAGTGGGATTAGTTTTTTGGTTGAATGCAATTTCTTTTGTCTTATCCTAGTTTTAATCAATGTCATTTATAACCTATTTCCACTTATTTATTTATTTGGTGACGCTGGGGATTGAACCCAAGGCCTTATGCATGTAAGGCAAGGACTCTACCAACTGAGCTCTATCCCCAGCCTTATAACCTATTTTTGAATATGTTATTGAGAATATATGCAGCTAATTGGGCAAACATTTGCATTTCATGGAAATACCTTCAAAGAACAGTTAAGGGTGAAGAGGCTGCATTTATATCATAAGAACTGGATCATTATTGCAGCATGTTTCTTGGTCCCATCCCACTGATTCTCAGATCCTGTGATCCCGTGGTGGCTTTAGAGTTAGTGGTAGCCTTTAATGGGCTTTGTTGTCCTCTTCTGGTTTGACTGTTTCTATTATGATTTGTGGTAAGATTTTTGCTGCCTTCTTCCCCTCTAGCCTTTAACATCCTTTAAGCAAAGGAAAAGTGGCTCAACTTCCAGTTCTCCCTCCAGACGCCGGGGGAGCCGAGGGAGCCGCGGCAGCCGAGGCAGTAGGTCAAGATCACGCTGCAAATCCCCTGGTCGAACACCTAAGAATTCCCGAAGATCCGCCTCTGCTTCTCACCAGCCTGACATTAAGGAAACAAGGAGGGAAATTTTGGAAGTAAAATTGACTCCACTCATATTGGTACTTGTGTTTGTACTTACACATTATGTCATTGGTCCAAAATCCTGTCTCTTCCCTTTATGTAAATGTTTACTCAAATTATTTGCAGTTAATAATATTAAAATATTAGTGAGACATCAAATCTAAGGTGATGACTGTGGAAGGTTATATAGAAAACAAGTGTTTGGCATAGAAAATATGGTTCTTTCAAATATTTAAAAAAGAATGTTGTTAGGTTGTAAGAAGAGTTATTTGATATTATGGTCTTTATTTATTTAAATATTTTTTTAGCTGTAGATGGACACAACATATCTATTTATTTATTTATGTGGTGCTGAGGATCGAACTCATGGCCTCATGCATGCAAGGCAAGTGCTCTACCACTGAGCCACAACCCTAGCCTCCAATATTATGGTCTTTATAAAAGTAATGTTTAAATTTGAAATGGATATAGTTTTAACACTTTTTTGGGGGGGTGGGTACCATGGATTGAACTCATAGGTGCTTAACTACTGAGCCACATCTCCAGCCCTTTTTAAAATTTTTTATTTGAGACAGGGTTTCACCAAGTTGCTTAGGGCCTCACTAAGTTGCTTATAGCCTTGCTAAATTGCTGAAGCTGTTTTTGAACTTGCAATCCTCCTGCCTCAGCCTCCTGAGTTGCTGGGATTACAGGTGTGCACCACCATGCCTGGCCAAAACTCAATACATGTTTACTAGTTCTTGTATGAAATGATGAGACAAAACCATGTTATAGAGGCATCTTCTTCCTCTCTCAGCATCATTATATTTGACCACTTTTCCTATTCAGAGATGATCATTTCAATGGAATGACTTTCAGAGTGTGTTTTTGGAAATATCAGGGTGTGTTGAGCCTGTAGACTTTATACAACGAATATTTTAATTGATAGACCAAGTAGAAAATATTTTAAGAGTTACAGTAAAATTTATCTTATATTCCATTCACTTAATATTACCTCTTTTCTGCATAAGATGCACAGAGTTTTAATAATGTTAAAGAACTAGACTATTTCCATACTGTTTTTTAGTCAGATTTTTAAATTTTTAAAGTACTGGTAGTAACTCTTTGGTGTTATTTTCCCACAACTTTTTTTTTGTATGATAAGTATGGATATACCATAAATAATACAGGTGCAATGTAATTTTTAAGGTCAGTTTCCTTTTTTTTGGTATCAGGGAATTGAACCCAGGGATCCTTAACCACGCTCCCCAGGGTCTTCTTTTTAATACTTTTTTTTAAAATAACTTTTTTTTTTTTTTTTTAATGTGGTGCTGAGAATCAAACCCAGTGCCTCACACATGTAGGCAAGCGCTCTACCACTGAGCCACAACCCCAGCCCCTTAATACCTTTTAAAATTTATTTATCTTTATGTGGTGCTGAGGATTGAACCCAGGGCCTCATATGTGCTAGGCAAGCACTTTACTACTGAGCTACAAACCCCAGCTCCTTTTTTTTTTTTTTTTGGTGGTGCCTGGGATTGAACCAGGGTCTTGTGCATGCTAGGCAAGCACTCTACCAACTGAGCTACATCCCCAGCCCTCCCTAACCCTTTATATTTTTTATTTTGAGACATGGTCTCACTAAGTTGCTTAGGGGCTTGCTGAGGCTGGCTTTGAACTTGGGAGCCGTTAGGATTATACACATGTGCTACCATGCTTGGCGTTCAGCTTCCTTTTTGGTAGTGTTTTCCTTCTATATCTTCACTATTATAAACAAGTATTTTTATATCTGATTACCTGTTTAGGGTAAATTCTTACAAGTGATACTGTTAGATCAGCTGTTTAGCACAGATTTTAGGCTTTTAATACTATGCCAGATTGCTTCAAGATAGTTTGTGCCATATCAGTAGTGTTTGAATGACCATTTTTCATATATATTTTTTATATATATATCTATGTTAATATGACTGTCCCGAGTCCACTCACTGTTCCGATTTGCATTTTGCTATTACTAGTGAGTCTGAACATTCTGGGTCTTAGTGGCTGTCTTACCAGCCTGTTCACTCAGGGTAGAGAACATCCAGATGCCGCACACTGTTTATTTTTATTTTTTTAAAAAATATTTATATTTTAGTTTTTTTTTTAGGTGGACACAGTGTCTTTATTTTTTATTTTTATGTGGTGTTGAGGATCGAACCCAGGGCCTCACACATGCTAGGCAAGCGCTCTACCGCTGAACCACAATCCCAGTCCCCATCCCCCACATTGTTTTCTGTTACACTTTCGTTCTTAATATTTAGGGACTTACACTTTTGCTGTGTACTTTTCTAGTCCAGTGACATAAGAGCATACCTACCAGTAGAGCTCCTCACCAGGAGAGCCCTGGTCTACTGTGTGTAGTAGCCCTGGCTACTGTGTGTAGCTCAGCAGTAATTTGCCTCATTGTATCCAGTATTCCATCTCCATGAATCTTTTTGTTTAACTAAGAGAAGTAATTTGCAGTCAACAGAATTCAGAGCTGACTAGTGGTGTTACAGTATTATGTTTGTGGTTACTTTAGATTATATGTTGGATTTTTGAAAAACTGGGAAATTGAGAGTAGCTTTAAGTGATTTTATTTGCTAAGTGGCTTAGTGGCACTTTAGTAAACTTAAGTATGTAGTGAATGTTATCATTGCTCAGGAAGAACTTGGTATTGTATTAAGACTTTACTTTGCCAACTGTTTTCCCCAAAGATATACTTGGATTTTTTGCGGGGGTTGGGGATTTATTAGCATAAAGGAGCAGAGTCACAGATTTCAGCTGCACATTGCCTGAAAAATCTTTTGTAAACTAAATCACATCCCCTGTTCAGTCTGATAAAAAATTTAAGAAGTTGAATTGAGAAAAGGGATGTGTAGAAAGGGGAAATTTAAGGTTAAGTAGATACTAATAGTGACATTCAGAAAATAGTCAGTTTGTAGGTTACTAGTAATAGTCTATGTATACCTACTGTTTTTTAATTTTCCATTATTGGCTATTTTGGGACAATGAATATATTTTTCCTCATTTTAAAAAATATCTTTATTTATGTTTATTTTTTTTTATGTGGTGCTGAGGACTGAACCCAGCCTCACACATGAGAGGAAAGCACTCTACCACTGAGCCACAACTCCAGCCCCTTTTCTTAAAATATTTTTTTAGTTGTAGATGGACACAAGACCTTTATTTTATTTTTTAAATTTTTATGTGGTGCCAGGGATCGAACCCAGTACCCTCATGCGTGCTAGGCAAGCAGTGCTCTACCACTGAGCCACAACCCCAGCCCCCTTTTTCCTCATTTTTTTAAACTGACCTACTATGGAAATAATTTTCCAATTTTTCCTTTTATCTGCCCCTCACAACAGATATTAGAGTATTTGACAATGAAATTATAACTTACAGTCAAATTATATTTGAAAGGTGAAAGATATATGTACAGTTCTATTCCTTAAGGTCCAATCTTTTGAAAGTCTTCTAAACAATTTATTTTCCCTCTTCCTTTTTTACAAAAGGAGGCTGAAATTCTCTAGAATTAGAAATAAGCCTTTGACTTGTTTTATTGCTTGGTTTTTCAGCAGTAATTTGTGGGTTACCGTCATGTTTCTTTTAATAAGTCCCAGTTCTTCTGATTAAAATGTTTTATATTCAATGTAGAAGCCATTTGGAAATAGCATCAGCATATACAATGGGGAGCCCGAACACATTGAGAGGAATGATATACCTCGTAAAAACACACAGGTATGAAAATGTTCTCCTTCATACTGGATAATTTTTTTTTTCTTTGTTCAAGTGACATTCCCTCCAGAAGCACATTGGAAATCATAATATTTTATACTCTTGTACTACAGTTCCTAAAATTAAGAATGAATGTATTTTATTTTTTTAAAATATTTTTTTTTAGTTTTAGGTGGACACAATATCTTTATTTATTTATGTTTTTATTTTTATGTGGTGCTGAGGATTGAACCCAGTGCCTCATGCATGCTAGGCGAGTGCTCTACCGCTGAGCCACAACCCAAGCCCCAAGAATGAATATATTTTAACAAATTTATTGAATATAGCTGTATTGAAATGTTAAATTAGTTAATGTAGTAGAATTTGTGGTCATTATTCACTATAGATATTTAATATTTTTTATTTTTTAATTAGGAAAGATTCATTTTGTCACAAGATGGTAGCTATATATCAACAGAATATAGTCTTCGTCCAAGAAGAGAAGAGATCAAATTAAAAGAAATAGATTCTAAGGAAGAAAAAGTTGTTACTAAAGGACCCACATCACCAAGAACCTTTGAAGTGACCACCCCACAGAAGAAGGACTTAGAGTTTGGAGGAGTACCTGGTAGGCATCAGTACTGGGCTTCGGGAAGGCTGCTGGTGGGTGAGTGGTAGTTGCTGTGAGGTGCTCTGGAAAGACTTCTCTCTGAAGAATTCTGCTGGTGGGAGAATGAGCAAGGTGGCAGGACTGGGCAAGAGCCTTCCAGAGGACAGCAAGTGCAAAGACCTGAGCTAGGAGCAGGGGAAAATGGAGTAGAAAGGATGTTGGTGTGGTTGTATTGAAATTTTCAGCAGTCTGTCCATAGATAGGTTTTGAGCAAAGAAATATAGTGCCGTTTCAAAGAAGTGATAAAGGAAGTTTGACCTGAGGAAATATAGTGCCATTTCAAAGAAGTGATAAAGGAAGTTTGACCTGAGAACTATGTATAGGAAAGGTGATGATCGATTAGGGACAGAGAGCTCCTGATACTCAGACCCGATGGCAGGGCTTGACTTTGGCAGGAGCAGTGGGAACAAGCTGCAGACATGAAATGGGGTCATGATTCTACTCTACCTGCTAGACAGTTTCAAAATGAGGGTCAGAGATTTAAAGTGTGCAGAGCCTTGAGATCATTAAATAGATGGAACCGATGACATTTTATGAGCTAGTAGAAGAAAATACTTCTTGGCTAAATTGTTTAAAATCCTGTGTGGTGCAATTGCTTTATATTTTATAACCCTTGGCCAGCTGGTCTCTTAGAGATCGTGTCCAGCCATCACTTAATATCTGTGGGCACATTTCATGAATATATGAATGTAACAGTATTTTAGTTGTTTCAAATTTAGGGATATAAAGTCTTTTTGTTAGGATTAGACTGAATATTTTCAGATGTTCTGATCTTAAGTTTGCTAGTGTTTCATTTCTCTTGCTCTTAGAGTCCCTGGAGATTAAACATTTTAGAGCTTAATTTCTGAGGTGGGATTTAGCTTTGTACTCTTCTTGCTACTCTAATGTTAGTGGTTGCTTGCCTGTTGGAGGTGACAGGGAGAGATTAGGAGTTTCTGATGGTATGTTAGGAATTGATTTCAGACCATAAAGAAGCCCAAATGATTTTTTCTTTTTGAGTGGGGTGGGTACTGAGGATCGAACCCAGAGGCACTCTACCACTGAACTACATCCCCAGCCCTATTTCTTTTTTATTTTGAGCAGGGGCTCACTAAATTGCCTGGGCTGTCCTTGAACATTTGGTCCTCCTGTCTCAGCCTCCTGAGTCACTGGGATTTCAGGCATGTGCCATGGTGATTTTTAAACTAAATAAATAAACTGGATTGAAATTTGAACCTTTAATATTCACTAATTATTTGCAGGTGTGACCCTCATCATTCTTGGCCTGCCTGTCTTCCTCTTCCTGTTGCTGTTGATGTGTAAACAGAAAGATCCCAGTCTTCTGAATTTCCCCCCTCCTTTGCCAAATTTGTACGACTTATGGGAAACCAGAGTATGTGGAATCTACCTGCTATGGTTTTTTGTTCAAGCTCTGTTTTCCCTGTTGCCAATTGGGAAGGTAAGTTTTTGCTAGTAGAGCATAATATGGTGAGATTTTTCCACACCTTTCTTTTATGTTTTCTAGACAATTTATACTAGTTTTAAGCTGTTGTTGGACATAGTCACCAAAACTTCCTTAGTTACTCCTGTGCTCTAGAATACTTGCTTATTAAATGGAGCTTTAAAAATCTGATTGAAATTTCCTGTGTAACTTTCCAAACCAAATAAAAAGAATAAGCTATTTTTCAAATTAGCCTGACTCTTGGTGGAGGGAGCTCAGAAAACAGTATTACCCTCAGTACATGTCATTCCAGGTATGGCTTTTTAATTGATAGGCAGCTGAGCTCAATGGACTTTCTCTTTTACTTTTTTTAAAAAAATAGGATGTTTTAATTTTTATCCCTTTCAGAAACTCACTGTCAAGGACATTTTATGTACTTTTCAAACTCATGTAATATCCTTGAAATTTGTTCCCATTGCTAAATGTAGCATTCTCTTCTTTCAGTAGAGTACTTGACTTAAATATATTTAAAGGAACATGAGATTCCCTAAGTAATAAATAATTTATTTAAGGATCTTATTCTTAGGGCTCTGCAAATTTGCCAAATGAAAACCAAAGGGGTGGTGAGTGCCAGTGCTGGGCTAGAGCTGCAGACTGAATGCTGTGGGCCCTCAGCTGTGCCAGTGAACCTTGAGTAAGGCTCTGCGGTCAAACTTAGATTAATTTAGGGAATGGCTAGTTTGAACTAGATGATGATTTATTAAGAAAGCAGTTTCAGTGGTTAAAATTATGTATATACACACACACACACACACACACACTGACCAAAGTGACGAAAAAGTACGTGTGTGTGTGTGCGTGTGTGTGTGTGTATTTTCACAGGCTAAGGCCTGACAGTATTTACTAAACACCTTTAATAGATAAGGACCATTTGACATTATTAGGTGGGGTTTGCTAATCCTGTGATCTCAGACAGTTTATGTGTTTCTGCTTTTGGATTCCTTTTGATAGCTAATGAAAGGCTACAGGCACATGATACTGTGTTAGCATTTTACATTTTAAAAGAGTCACTACATTTCTGAGTAGTTACTTTGGGGAGTACATTGTGGCTGTCCCTGGGCAAGTGGACATTTTACTCATCTAGTTCAAGTGCTGTATTTCATGAGTACTTTGACTGTGGGAATCACTGTGCTGCGTGCTGTGAGTAATGCCAGGTAAAAAGATGAGAATGTTCCAGTCCGTGGAGTGTAAAGGACCATGGAAAAGCTCCGTAAACTCAACAAGCCAAAACAACCATTTACCTGTCTGACATTTTATTAGCAGACCGTAGTGGCCAGTCGCAGAAGAGAAGGGAGGAGAGAGAGGGAGAGGGAGGGGGAAGGGGAGAGGGAGAGAGTGGGGGAGAGGGAGGGGGGGGAGAGGGAGAGAGGGGGAGAGAGAGGAGAGGGAGAAGAGAGCGAGGAGGGGAGGGGGAGGAGAGAGGGAGGGGGGAGGGGAGAGGAGAGAGTAAGAGTTAAGAGTAAGAGAGGGAGAGGGGGAGGAGGAGGGTAAGAGAGGGTGAGAGGAGGAGAGAGAGTGAGAGTAAGAATAAGAGAACAAACACGAACAGGGTATTGATATTTATGGGCTTAACACAGGATGAGGAGGAGCAGGGCGAGTGGGCTGTTACTTCTTCATTGGCCAAGAGTTCGGGCCACTTCAGGGATTGGAAGGTGCTGCGCCATTCACAGGAATTGGAGGTGATGGTTCGCGCACCATTCAGTGCGTCATGGACCTGAGCTCCCGGAAGAGAAGCAGTCTGGGCGCCATCTTTACCAACATGGAGCATGCTCACAGTTGCTTATTAGAGATAAAAGAATCACATGGAGTTATTAACTGGATGAGCATATATGTATATGTAACAGACAACTCTTTGAGTTATGCAGGCATAATATCAAATAGCACACTGGACATAGTAGACGAATAAGTAGAGCAGAGCCTGATTGCAAGGACCTTGCAAATGTGAGACAATGTAGTTGTACTCTGTTTTGTGAGTGGTGGGGCTTAAGCAATTGAAGATTCTTGAGGTAGGAACTCATCAGATGTAAAGGTGTTTTTTTTTTTTTTTTTTTTTTTTTGGTGCTGGGGATTGAACCCAGGACTTTGTGCATGCAGGGCAAGCACTCTACCAACTGAGCTATATCCCCAGCCCCCATATGTAAAGGTATTTTAAGCACATTCAGTCTTGTGGTACATAGGATGGTTTGGGGAGAATGGTTGTTGGCAGTGTTCTTAGTACACTGAGATGTTGGTAATTCCATTTATATTTAAGATAAATTCCTGAGGGTGGAATTGCTTCATCAAAGGACTTGCCATTAAGATTTTTCTGCAACAAATTACTGTATTATTAAGAGATATCCTCTTTCTTAGGCATAGTGAAATTTAAGAGATATTAGAAGGCTACATACTTATATTAGAAGATATATTATTTATATTAGAAGATTATATCAAAATACATAGGAAGGATGGTAATGTACTTTTTTCAATTAAATTTTGTTTTTCTTTTCAGGTTGCAAAAGGAACCCCTCTTGTTGATGGAAGAAGACTCAAGTATAGATTAAATGGTGATTTTTTTTTTTTTTTTTTTTTTTTAATGACTCAAGTTGACTTGAAAATTTAAGGAGTTGCACTCCTTAAACTGTCACAGCTGATTACACTAATCAATAGAAAATTATCTCTTAGTTTTGAAGGACATGCTAATAAACTACTTATACCTGTAGCCAATGTATAAAACTTATGCCATGAAAAGTAACAGCCACCTCAGTCGTTCCTGTTATCTAGTTTTCTTATGTTTTTCTTTCCACATTTTTTTAAATTGGTGCATTATAGTTGTACCTACTTTTTTTTTTTGAGAAAAAGGAAAAAGAAGTTTTATTGTTTTGCTAGCAAAGGAGAAACATAGGGGCCTCCTGTCCCAGAGGCTGTGATTCTGCCCATCAGGGAGAAGGGTTTTTTTTTGGTGCTGGGGATGGAACTCGGGGCCTTGTGGAGCTATAACCCCAGCCCCAAGAAGGGTTTTGTTTTAAAGAGGTGGTTCAAAGGCTACATTTCACAGTTGTCTGTCCAGAGGTATAATTCACTTGTTAATTTGGAAGATAGTCATTTCTGTGATCTTCTGAGTTACTTCATTCCAGTGGTGGGTGTATGCTCAAGGACAGATAACTCTGTCTAGGATGGGGAAGAAAGGTAACCTGTTTGCCCTGACATTAGGGAGGGGGAAAAATTAGGGAGGAGGAGGAGCAAGAGGGCAAGAAGGAGAGAAATGTTACAGTGGCAGAGCAGCAAGGGTTATAGTCAAAGCATAAAATGGACCACTGTTACATTTCCCCACTGACAATTTCTACATTTCTATGGAAAGGGAGCAACAACATCTCTAAGCTGTTCTTGCTGGAAATGACCCAGAGTCATTGTTCTCTATCAGGTGAGGCATGGACAGTTATTAGTTTTTAGTAATCAGGGCAGACCAGAGGTCCATGGTGGCAGTTGGTGGGTAACTAGTCAAGGCATCATATGGCAGGGATCATGCTAAGACAACAGTGAACAAGACAGGAAAAGCATTACTTCTTTTTTTTTTGTAAACTATTAGCACAAAAGGAATTAGTATTTCAGCCAGACTCTGAAAACCATGAAGTCAGTAACTCAATCATGTCAGTGAAAAACAGCTTGAGTTAATCTATGGAGGAGGTTAGGAAGATTTGTAGGTCTGAGATCAGGCTCAGATTGACTCTAGAATCCTTTGTGATCATCATTATTATTATGCACTCTCACACAAGAACCCTACCTTTATACCGTCCAGCTTTAATTACTTTTGTGTACATCTTAAGTTATATTAAAAAAAAAAAACCATTATCCTTTTAAATGATTAGGACTGTGCTTTGGCTCTACTCTGTTGTTACATATTTGTACACGCACACAACATACCAATATACAGTTTAGTTTTCTTAGCCTCATTAGCACTACTTAAAATACTGTACTTGTCTAGGGTTTCATCATTTGAAGCACTCCCATGGCCTGAGAGAAGCCCTTTACTGGTGTGGGCATCTTGGCCACTCTGACCCTGGGAGCTGTTCCTGCCCCTGCTCACTTGGTTCCAGCTGCATGGGTCTGAACTGTGTTTTGAATTTGTGCCTTTGCCTGGAAAACTTTTCCCCAAATGTCTGATAGCTACTTTTTTTTACTTTTGTTACATCTCTGCTCAGAGAAGCCTTTAGGTCCCTTTCTTTCCCTTGCCCTATTTTATTGTTCTCTCTTGGCAGTTTGCCTTCCCACATCAATGTATTTATCTGTTCTTTGGGGTCCCCACGCTAGAATGTAGTTGTGTGGGCTGAGGCTTGATCTTGTTCCCTGTTGCTCTCTTGGTGCCAGTAGATGAGTGGGCACTAGTGGGTGCTCATAGATGTGGGCACTAAGGCAGGATGAAGTGGTCCTACGTAGCAGTTTGAGAAATGGGCAGATGTCGCCCCCTGTTGGCTGGGTGCCTCCCGTGGTGTAAGAGTATATACTGAGGGGATCAGTCCAACTTGGCCATTTGAAGACTTTGATAAAGTACCATTAACTTGATTTTAGGGCACGTCTATGTCGTAATCTTTTAATGAGTGTTTTACTAGACTAAATGGAGTGTTTTTATTTTCTTGGGAACTATATTACAAATACTCTTCAACTTAAGATGTGGTTATGTTTTCACAAACCCATCTTAAGTTGAAAATAGTGGAAGTAGAAATGCATTTAATACATCAAACTACCTAACATCTTAACTTAGTTACAGTCCACTGGAGCCTGGCAGTCATTCACCCTGTGATGCTTGGCTGACTGGGAGCTTTGGCTTGCTGGCACACTTTAGCACCAAAGAGAATAGCACCACTAGCCTGGGAAGAGATCCATTTAGGAAATATGGTTTCTACTGAATGTTTTTTGCTTTTGTACCATGTAAGGTGGGAAAATTGTAAGTCTAACCACTTAAGTCAGGAACTGGTCTGTGTGTGTAAATATTTTTTTGTGTGTGGTACTGGGGATTAAACTCCAGGCCTCTTGCGTGCTGGGCAAGTGCTCTACCACTAAGCTATGATTCCAGCCCTTATCTGTATCTGTTTGAATGTCTTTTTATCCTGTCCATGCTTTTTTCTAACTTTGGATATTTTTTGTTTAGTGCTTTATCCAGTATCTAGTCTATCTGAAATCACTTTACTGGGTTCTAAAAGGGAAGCAAAGATATTTTAGATGCCTCCTGCATTTTAATGTCATGAGAAGCATCTATTGTAGCTCAGTGCCAGATATTGGTGGGTTCTTAAAACTTGTTTGCTGATGCTGGCAGACTTTTTGTTTGCTTTCACCAAACTCCTTGCTAATGGAACAAATTTTAGAATCTGTGACACTCCCCTTCTCTTTGGTTGTGTGTGCCCAGCCAGTGAAGTGGAGTCTGGGGAAAGATGGGTTTACTTTTTGCTATCAGGTCTCAGGATATTAGTGTTCTGTGGGTTTCTTTCTAGGGTACAGTTTATTTCCTTCTAAGTGATGCTGTTTTGCTTTTGTTTCCTTCCCTTAGAGGGGTGTCACACAGAGACTTAGTTAGCACTTGGACATGGAGTTCTGGTCTAGTTGCCTGATCCCTTAGGAACGATTGCTCTAAGCTAGAGTAAAATAAGGGAAAAAGGGAGGGGAATCAGATATCACAAAGAAATAGGAGGAGAATAGAGAGAAAGGGTGGGGAGGAAGAGGAGATTGAAGTAGAGGAGATGATATTTCCATTTGTATTTCATTTTAAAAAGATGAACTCAGCTACTGTGTATAACTATAATGCTCTAATAAAAAGGAAAAAACCTTCCTCTTCTGGTTATTCTGGTTGCAGTATTAAGAAATTTCTTTTCATAAGATTTTGCCACTTAAGAAATTTCAAATAATTATTTTTAATCCACATAGCTAGAGAGCAAAAAAAACTGCTTTAATCCACCATTTCTTTTCTTTTAAATTTTATGGGAGTTGAATGAATATATTTAAAAGTTAAAGTTAAAAATATTCGTGGGAATAAACTAATGAGGACATAAGTAGTAAATAAATTAGAAATGACTTTTTCACTTTATGAAAGCTTTTGACTTTAGAATTCTAGTATAAATAAGGTCTGCTTCTTTTTTGTGTTTGAATATTTATCCAATTTGATGACTTAGCTTTCAGGCACTTGGCTCCCATAAGCAAAACTATTTCTCCAGCCAAAAGACAAAATAGTTCACGGTGTCTCTCTGTATGGGTCAGCGGCAGCAGGACTAGTTCGAGGAGTCTCAAGGCTGCTTTCTAATCTGGCTGTGTGGGTGAATGTCCCTGCTAGGTCCTCACATCCCAACTTTACCAGACGGTTGTTTGATTGCACTTTGAGGGTGGGGTCTTGAATGTTAGTTCTAGATGATAGAATATGACTAAAACCTTTGGAAGCCGTTATTGACAAGTTAATTCAAGTATAAATACTTATAATTTTACAGCAACTAAAATTGCCTTATCATTCAGTAATGACATTAGATTTTAAAATGTGTGCATGGCCAAGCTCTGTTAATACTTAGCCATCTAGAGGTTGGGGATATAGCTCAGTTGGTAGAGTACTTGCCCTGCATGCACAAGGCCCTGAGTTCATTCTACAGCACCAAAAAAATTAAATAAATAAATAAAATAAAATAAAAAATCTGATTTTGGGTTGAGAGTTTATATTAAATGCATTTTGAGATTCTTTTTTTAAAAATATTTTTAATTTTTTAGTTGTATTTGGACACAATACCTTTATTTTATCTATTTTTAAGTGGTGCTGAGAATTGAATCCAGGGCCTTGCATGTGCTAGGCAAGTGCTCTACCACTGAGCCATAACCCCAGCCCTGCATTTTGAGATTCTTAACAGTGAATTTTTGTGAACTTCAGCTTTCCCTTAATTAAAAGCAGATAATGATTGCTTATAATGAAAAATAATAAATATGCTAAAATATTTGAAAAATTGTACAAGAGTTATGGTATTGAGGATTACGCCTCAGATATTGCTTATTTGTAGATTTGTGTCTATTTAGTCAGAATCATGAAAGTAAGACAAGTGACACTGCATTAGCCGGGTGCCAGGGTACTCAGAGACTGAGGTGGGAAGATCTCTTGAGCTCTAGAGTTCCAGACCAGCCTGGGCAACATAATGAGACACTGTGTTCAAACCAAACTAACCAAATAAACCCCAGAACCAAAACCAACACATTGCATTGTTTTATAACGATGTAAATTTTATGTGAGCCCTGGGTTAATATAACCCCCCATCCAATTTTTTTCTCTCTTAAAGGATTCTATGCATTTATGTTGACATCTGCAGTCATCGGGACATCTCTCTTCTGGGGTGTTGAGCTTTATTATGTGTACAACCATTTCCTTCAGTTTGCCCTTGTAGCCACTATTTTTTCAGTGATCTTGAGTATTTACCTCTACGCTCGCTCTTGGAAAGCACCCAAGGATGAACTGTCTCCTGCCAGCGCTGGTGAGCAGTGGTGAATCGTGGGTTAGATGAATGCCAGAGCCCTCTGCAGCCATTTCTAGACTTGAATAGATGACTGCCCCCTCACCCCCACGTTTCCCTTCTAGCTTCATTTTATGGGAAAAGAAGAGAAATATGAAAAAACAAAAAGATGGAAAAAAAAAAGCTAAAGAAAAATGAATTTAGAAGAAAATATTAATTTTTTCTCTTATACTTTTCTGTTCCTTTAGTTGTTTGATGACAATAAATACTTTTGTAAACTTTTGAGAATCACAATTTATAACATTATTTTGTCTAAAATAGTCAATACTTTGGTTGATTCTGACCTAAACTGTTTAAGCGTTTTTAATAAAGTTGCTTATTTTAAAAAATTGTACATTTAAAGAACTTCTGGTTCCTTCAAAATGGGGGCCTTCAAAGGGTGTAGTCTGTGCCCTTCTGCTGAGGCTGCATCCCCAGCTCCCTGCGTACTGTGGGATCCTCCTACCTTTTACCACCAGAACTTTCCTAGGCTCTTGTAGACAGCTGAATTGGGACCCCTGGATAATAGGTGGCTATGAGATTTTAGAGCCTCGTTTGGAACACCGTTTGGGTAAAATCTTTTCCGTTCTCAGGAAATGCTGTCTATGATTTCTTCATTGGCCGTGAATTAAATCCTCGAATTGGTGCTTTTGATCTCAAATACTTTTGTGAATTGCGTCCCGGATTGATTGGATGGGTATGTCCTTTTTTACTTTTTAAATTTAATAATAGAAATTTTTCTTGCATTTAGAAAGAAATGTAGATAATTTTAAAGTAAGAAGTAGGCACTGTGTTTTTAGGAATAATTATAGCTTTCCATATTTTGTTTATTTAACACAAAGTGTTTTCTGTAATATTTTCACTTTATATTTATTTATTTATTTTTTAAAACTCTTTTTCTAAAAATTTTTGTAGTTGTAGATGGATAGCATTCCTTTATTTTACTTGTTTATTTTAATGTGGTGCTGAGGATCGAACCCAGTGCCTCACCTGTGCTAGGCAAGTGCTCTGCCACTGAGCCACAGCCCCAGCTCCTTTCATTTCATTTTATTTTTTTAATATATATATTTTTTAGTTGTAGATGGACACAATATCTTTATTTTGTTTATTTATTTTTATGTGGTGCTGAGGATTGAACCCAGCACCTTGCATCTACAAGGCAAGCACACCACCGCTGAGCCACAACTCCAGCCCCTCATTTTATTTTTTATTTTATTTTATTTTTTTAATGTTTATTGTTTAGTTTTCGGCGGACACAACATCTTTGTTTGTATGTGGTGCTGAGGATCGAATCTGGGCCGCATGCATGCCAGGCAAGCGCACTATTGCTTGAGCCACATCCCCAGCCGCCTCATTTTATTTTTATTGAAATCATTTTACCTTTATGTAGGAAAGTGAGAGTGTAGATGAATTAATGTAAGAAAAAATGTATTTTCCTTCTCTTTTTGAAAAAAGCCTATTTTTTTTTTTTTTTTTTTTGGTACAGGGGATTGAACTTGGGAGCACTCGAACACTGATTCACATCCCCAGCCCTATTTTGTACTTCATTTAGAGACAGGGTCTCACTGAGTTGCAGAGCACCTCCCTGTTGCTGAGGCTGGCTTTGAACTTTTGATCCTCCTGTCTCAGCCTCCAAAGCCACAGGTATTATAGGTGTGCACCACTGTGTCTGGCCCTAAAAAAAAAAAAAAAGCCTAATTTCAAACTTGCAGTAGAGTTATGAAAATAAAGAGGTCTCTTGCTGTCCTCATTCCCCTTCCCATAGTGTTAACATCTGATCTACCACAGTATGGTGATCGGTAACAGCAAGTTAACATTAGTGGTTGCTGAGTCTTTGTTTGTCTCTAGTGAGAGACAGTTTTTTGAAGAATACTAGTTGGTTATTTTATAAGTGTCCCTCCGTTTGGGTTAGTCCAGTATTTTCTCATGTTTGGAGTGAGGTTATAAATTTTGGCAAGAGCAGCACAGAAGTGACATTATATCCTCAGTGCATTGTGGCCAGGGGTTCCTGGTATTGATACCTCGTCCCCAGTGGAGGGTTCGTGGTTAGGGCAGTGTCTGCTGGGCTTCTCGGCTGGGAAGTTCCTTCTTCCTCTGAGTAGTGCTTGGCATCTCTGGGAAGGTCCTTTGAGACAATATTCCCCTCTTTTATTTCAGGTGGTTATTAACTTAGTGATGCTTTTGGCTGAAATGAAAGTACAGAACCGTGCTGCTCCATCCTTGGCAATGATTTTGGTTAACAGTTTCCAGCTCCTGTATGTGGTGGACGCCCTCTGGAACGAGGTAATTAATTTTAGGAGCCCAGGCCTTGGAGTCCGGTGGCTTTGACAGTGGGTGAATGACCTGACCTCTGGGAGTCTTGCTGTCTGCACACAAAGAGGGGGAATCCAGCCTCCTCCAGCTTGCTGTGAGGTGGTGGGAAGTGCCACTGTGTGAGGGCGTGGAGGTGCTGCACTGAGCAGGGCTGATGCCAGGTTTCTAGGCTTTTGGCCACACATCCATGTGTGTCAGCAAGCATTTATTTAAAAATAAAATATTGTAAATATTTAAAATTGGTAGATCTTGGCATCTGTTTTTTTGAGTAGTGGCCGATTCACATAACTAAAATTTAACTGTTTAATTACTGTATCACATGGAAATTGGTAATCATTTAATTAGAATGGTGTTTTAGGATTGTCAAGAGGTAATTGGTAATCATTTAATTAGAATGGTGTTTTGGGATTGTCAAGAGGAAGCTAAAGAGGAAGATTTCTGATTTTATAATCCATCTGGTTAGAGCCTCACTTTCTATTTTGAAACATGAACAATATTTCCCCATTGTTCATGTTTCAAAATAGAAAGTGAGGCTCTAACCACATGGATTATAAAATCAGAAATCGAGATACATCGAGGAGACCAGCTTTATTTCAAAAGTTGTTTCCAACTTGTGGCCATTCTCATAATTGATAGGCCACTAATGATTTCTGTGGCATGAAGGCTGGTAAATGTTTTGCTGGTCTTCTCTGTCTCAACTGAACATATTTCTTTTAGAAAGCATTTCTTCCTCAGCCCTATGTTAGATATATTTTTATCATATTTATTGGTATCTTTGCAGTCACCTTCTCCATATTACAAGTTTTCTTTCAGTTTTAAAAACAAAATTAGCAGGCCTACATTCTTATGTCCCCAAATAAGTTTTTATGACACTCAGCTGACATTTTGGAGAGAAATCTCCTCTCCTTTGGAATCGGCACTTCTCCCCTTCCTTACCCTCTCCTGAGGCTGATCTTTAATTTTGGCTTTCCATGCAGAACCATAAAGAGTGAGTTTGAAAGTTTGGTATTGATATTTTGGTAATCCTCTTGTTCATCTTTTTTAAAGAAAAATATTTATTTTTTAGTTGTAGTTGGACACAGTACCTTTATTTTATTTATTTATTTTTATGTGGTGCTGAGGATGGAACCCAGGACCTCCCGTTTGCTAGGCAAGTGCAAGTGCTAGTGCTCTACCGCTGAGCTACACCCTAGCCCCCTTTTCTTTAGGAGGATTAGGACCGCTTTGAAGTTCAACAAACCTCATTTATAAGTAGAGGGATTGATGTTACCCCTGGTTACAGGTTGTTGTTGAACTCCCCCACCCCTTCGCATAGACTCTGCTCAGAGCTTTGTGCGCTCTGAAGATGGTGATGGCCTTTGATACTCAAGTCCTTTAGCATGAATTCCAGATCCACCCCAAATAAAGTGTGCTTTTGAATTTAAAAGAGTAACTCTTGGTATTGCCAGTGTAGGTCTGTCTGCTGTGATGTAGTAGCTCCTGAGGAGCACATAGATTACATTTCACAAATGATATTTCACTTTTGCTTTATCTCACCTCAGATTTGTTTTTGATTGGTTGTCAGTAATGATTCCTTCTAGTTTCTTCCTTCTTTTTGTTTTGTTTTGTGTGTGTGTGGTGCTGGGGATTGAACCCAGGGCTTTGTGAATGTGAGGTAGACAGTCTACCAACTGAGCTGTATGCCCAGCCCCTTCCTTCATGCTTTCTGTCTTGTGGTAGATTTGGAAATCTTTTGCATCTTAAGGCAAAGCTCTTTAAGGCAACATTAACAGAGCCCGGGGGTGGGGGATTGGGCTGGGAGGTTGTTCGCTGTGTATCTTCTTGTCTCAGCTGTCAAGCTTCTCCAGGAAGGGACTTGATTTTATGATTTTCTTCAGCCACAGGTAATTAGCAGATGCTTAATAGCTTTCTTGAAAGGTCAGTTGGTATAAATTCCTCTATACGAAACTGCCTCACCTTAAGAAAAACCAAGAATGCCAATTTAAGTACACACGACAGGAGGAGCTTGTCTTGGGATTGCCCTGAGGCTCCAGGAGGGGTGCCCCTGAGGTCCTGCCCACCTGGCATTGGGTGCTTAGGCTTTGGTCCTTCTTACTTCCACCCTCTTGGGCCCTGGCTGTTATCCGCATCTGCTTTTGTCTGGTCCCTTTTTAAAAGAATCGCCTTTATCCTGTTTTGAACCCGAGACCAGATCCAGGTCTTGAGGGTTGATATCTTTTTTGCATTCTTTCTAGGGACAAAATAAAGCTCTTGAGGTATCACTCTTTTCTTTTAAAACTAGAGCTCAGATCCTTCAATAGAGCTTGTACTAGCTAATCTTTCTACATCAGGAGCATACACTGAAGTTTAGAGGTCTCCTTCGCCAGGCTGGGTGAATTTGATGTTGGAGGTGTCTGGATTGCTTGGGTCCAGGTCCTGAGGTGATCTGGCTCTAGCAATATGCTCATGCTAGACAACCCCCCAGAGAGGATTGCACTTTTGTTAATTTACCAGGAGGGTGAAGCAATTGACCATGTTACCAGGTAGCTTATTTCTTCTGTGGAAAATGCATATGAGAAGCCAGATGGGGTGGGCTGCTTGGGAGGCTTAGGCAGGAGGATTGCAAACTTGGCAATTTAGTGAGACCCTGTCTTGGAATGAAAAAGGGTTGGGGATGTAGCTTGGTGGTGGAATGCTTTTGAGTTCAGACCCCAGTAATGAAGAGGAGTGGGGCGGGGAGGAAGGAAGGAAAGAAAAGCCAGGTGATGATCAGAAATTAGATTGGTGCCCCTGGAATTGAAACAAAGGGAACTGGCAATTTCATTATTCCTTCTTCAGACACATTTTGAACACTTCTCCATGTTGTGCTGGGGTGACAAAGATGAAAACATGGTCCCCACTTTTGGAGGGTTATGGTTCAGTGGAGAGAGACTGGACAAGTAAAGTAGCAGGGGCATCTGAGAAGTGGAGGGAGGAAGGCTGCAGGGGGCAAGGCTGATCTGTGGTTGGAGGAGGGGAAAGTGGGTGGAGGGGCCCTTTGGGGTCTGCTATTACAGGGCTGCGGACTAGGGGTAGAGCACAGCAGAGTGCAGGCCAGGGGAATCATAGCTCCCTGTTTTTTAACAAAATTTTGGTTGGTGTGTCCTCCCAGAGCCCTTCATATTTGACAGTACTAGCACAGTATTTGAATACTTTAAACTTGGAAGCTTTTTCTTTCCTTCCCCTGTCTATGTCCTTACAGGAAGCCGTGTTGACGACCATGGACATCATCCACGATGGGTTTGGATTTATGTTGGCCTTTGGAGATTTGGTGTGGGTTCCATTTATCTATAGCTTCCAAGCCTTTTACTTAGTCACTCACCCTCATGAGGTATCTTGGCCTGTAGCTGCTGGGATTATTGCTCTGAAACGTGAGTATTAAGCTCAGCTTCTGGGTAACTATGTGCTGTGGGCCAAGTCTGCTGTGCCCTGGTATCTACCTGTTTGTAATGTGCCATTTTAAATGGTCATGATTAGCTCAGGTTTGAAGTGATTTGTGATGGATGAGTAATAAAAAGATTCTGCATCTTGTGCAGACAATGGATGCTTCATGCGTCTGTTCTTTAGTAGGTCTCTAAACATAATATTTAAACAAAACATCTTGTTTTAAAATTTAAAAATTTGAATCATGATTTATTTTTTCTGTTGAGTGCCTACTCTTCTGAGTCGTTATTTTAAAAATGGGAAGATTGGTCTTGCCCTCAGAAAGCTCAGAGTATTCTCACAGGAGAAAAGACGCATGTGGGTGAGCGCCAGTGTGGGGCTTGGAGTTTTAGGTACCGAGGACTAGTGGGAACAGGCTGGGGTTGTAGCTCAGTGGCAGAGCTTGCCTAGCGCATGAGGCACTGGGTTCAATCCTCAGCACCACACATAAATAAGGAAAATAAAGGTCCATTGCCAGAAAGGTCTATTGCTAGAAAAAAAATAATGGAATGGAGATGGACAGGGAGCATGTCAGCAGGGTGAGTGGTGGGGAGAGGGAAGTGAGTTTGGGAAGTGAGGGGTCCAGTTTAGCTTTGGCTGGAAGCCTGCCAGGCCCAGTCATACATTTCACTTCAGGATGGATTTTCTTCAGTCCTTTGTCATTAAATCATTTATTAAACTCCTCCACCAGAGGCTGTGCAAGATAAGCATTGAACTTCATTTATCTATAGCTAGTTTTGCTAGCCTAATCAGTGTCCATGGTAAAAGAAGAAATCTTTGTGAAAATTAAAATTTAGTTTTGTCTGGCTTGGTGGCACATGCCTATAATCCCAGCAGCTTGGGAGGCTGAGGCAGTAGGATCATGAGTTCAAAGCCAGCCTCAGCGAGTTAGCAAGGCCCTGTCTCTAAATAAAATATAAAAGAGCAGTGGTTAAGCACCCCTGGGTTCAAACCCTGGTACCAAAAAAAAAAAGATTTGGTTTCACCATTGGTTTGGTTATCTCTATCAAGTGTGCCTGGGTGTTATTCAGAGCAGTATTATATATTTTACAGTTAAGCTAAAAATACGGAATAGACGTATTTTTATTTATTCAGGACTGACAGTACAATAGGTAAGTCAGGGCCTATTGATGTCAACATTTTGAAATTTAAATAAAGCTACCAACTTGTAGGTTTGCAGTGGGATTCCACATAGATTTGAAGTGGTACTGGTTCTAAGCTGGTGTTTTATTAATAAAGTGTTCATGTTAGGTATCAAAACTAACAGATAGCATATAATTTTGATTACACCAAACTCTAGCACTGATTTTATTGTCGTGGGCTTTCTTAGATTTTATTTTGTTTGGGGATGTGATTGCATTTTGCCTTTAAGGTATATAATGAGAGAGATTTCAGAAGAGTTGCTTTTTGACATTCTGGGCTTGAGAGTTTTCAAATTGTTTGTAAAAATCAGAATGTTCTCTGCTTTGAACATTTCCTCAGAGCCCTGAAATAATTTCTGAGAGAAATTACAGATAATTTTATGTATTAGGTTATATCTAAATTAACAAAAAACTATTTTAAAATTACAGTTTGTGGATATGTAATCTTCCGATGTGCAAATTCTCAGAAGAATGAATTCCGGAAAAATCCCACTAATCCAAAGCTTGCTCGTAAGTAGTAGTTTATATTTGTATGATGTATATTAAATGAAGATTTTATGTCTCTTTTTTAGAGATCATTAAAAATGTATTTTTGTTTTTATATAGATTTAAAAACCATTCGTACTTCTACGGGAAAAAATCTTCTGGTTTCTGGATGGTGGGGCTTTGTTCGCCACCCCAATTACTTGGGTGATCTCATCATGGCCCTGGCGTGGTCCCTGCCTTGTGGTAAGCATTTCAGCCCTTTGAAAGATGTGTGTGTGTCTTTAGTTGGGACAGAGTGGGCAGGGGTCAGCGTGAGTCTTCTGCTGACAGTGGTGGGTTGGGATTGCCTCAGCTGAGCTTCTCCGGAGCTGGGTTCTGGTTTTTTGTCCATGCAACAACTTATTTACCCCGCTTCTGTGGGGAATTGGAATTCACAGAGCCTGAAGTTTTACTTTGAACTTCTACAAATAAAATTTTGAGTTTTAAACTGTGCCTGGTTTTTTTCTACATAGAGTACATAGATTCTGGAAAACTGTGATTCTTAGAGAATTTGAGGAAAGGCAGGAAAAACTGCAGTGTAGGGAAAATAAAAATGTCCAATGCTTTTGACTGTTATTTTCCACAGGTTTTAATCACATCCTGCCTTATTTCTATGTGATTTACTTCACCATTTTGCTTGTCCACCGAGAAGCACGCGATGAGCACCAGTGTAAGAAGAAGTACGGCCTGGCGTGGGAGAAATACTGCCAGCGCGTGCCCTACCGCATCTTCCCGTACATTTACTGATTCTGTTCTGGTGATTAAAAATGCTCCCATTGTTTAGGCTTCCATTTGTGAAAACAAGGAAAAAAAAATCCAAACTCATTGCACTGACAGGATCTGTAAGTTTTGAGTCAGGACTCTAGAGCCAAGTAGTATGTCTGTTAATATAGCCATGTGTATTTTTATTAAATTAATAACAATGTCAGGAACTTTACAAATAACAATGTTAGAATTTGCTTTTAATAGGAAATTTTCAATCCTTAAAAATTTGAAAAAAAAAAAAAAAACAAAGCTAGTCTTAAATGCACTGAAAAGAATACTATTGATATTTATAGTTTTTAATTCCAAATTTTGATTTTTTTTTTCCCTTTTGCCAGTTGGTTTTTCTTAAGTGAAAACACTGTTCCATTTAGAATACATTTGTGTTTCATTGCATTAAGAAAACAATTTCATTTGCTTCTCTTTAAATCATTTACAAGTTATGTGATTTTTAAAGGGATTCGCTGTACATGGAGAGTGATGGCAGGTTAGGAGCAGACACTGTTTAAAGAGGCCCATTGGTAGCAGTTGGCTTAACTTCAACTTCTGAAACTGCATTTGAAAATGTACATACATAGCTTATTTTTATGTAATATATGGTGACTTCAGATTTTTCTGTACAGTATTTTGAATGTGAGATAATTGTCAGGACTAAAGTAGCTTTTTAACAAAAACATTTTCAGTATTTTAAATTAAGTTTTGTAAAGTAATACATGTGAATTAAAAATTTTGAAGCAATTAGAATTCATTTAATATTGTATAGAAGATGCTCTTAAAACATAGGAAAGGTATTTTTTCTTAATCCAAAGTTTGTGAATTTGGCTTTGCTACCTCAATTGCAGGTGTGTGTTTGCCTTTATAAACTCTTACAAATAGAAAAAGTAGAATAAATATATATTTTTGGAGAAACATTACTATTTAAACATTTTTTTTTACAAACATTGGTGTTCGAAAATTTGCCATTTAAGGCTACTATTTTTATATATTTTTTTGACTTTTAAAATTCAACAGTGTTTTTGCTACTATTCATTTAAATTGAAGAGTGATTTTGCTATTGTTTAGCTCATGCAGTTTATACTGTATTTTGTCCACATGTCCTTTAGGTCCACAAAACCTTGAAAGGAGTGCTATCTGAAAACAAGGCGTTAACTTAAAATTGCTTCTTTTAATAGATGTGCATAAAGGAAATTTAACCTTTAAATTCTAGTGAAGTTGATGTAGTCTCATTCATTATTAATTGTCCTATAATGGAACAGTAGCAAATTCACCAAACTTTTGTATTAAAAACTAATTGTTCTCAGTATCTTAAACATAGGGGAATGTAATACTTATAGTGTATGTTTGGGTTTTAATTCTACATTTTATATATGAGCCATTTAGATATGCAGTGTTCATCCTACCCTGCAATTTGAAGTATCTATAACCTAGCTTATGTTAATGTGATCGTGGAGTTGGTTTTCTCTAGCGTTCTGCATCCTGTAATGTTTGAACATTGCTTTGGTGAAATTGTCAGTGTTTTATCAGTACTGATGTATGCAAGCAAATTTTTTTGTTGCCTTTTTTTTTTTTTTAAGTTATGCTTTTCTCCTGGTATTGGAAAGTGGTGTTCTAGCAGGTTCTGGGCTGGATCACAGGGAGGTTTTGGGGGAGGATGGAGGACATTCAGTTCTTTTCCTGGCAATGAAAAAGGTTTGTTATCAGAAGAGTACTGCAGTGCTTGGGCATCAGCTACAGTTTGGTTTAATTTTGCTTTTGACATGTTTTTTTGACAAGCTTTATAATGAAGTTTTAAGTTGGAAATAAAATTTAAAATAAAAATGTTGCTTTGATTACTTTGATCCTTATTTTATTTTTGCCTGCAACTTTGGGATTATTGTCACCAAGACAAATCCTTCACTCACCCTCCCCGCCCCCTGCTCTTTCTAGGATTATTCCTCTGGGACCTTCCTGGATCACTGGGCATCCAAATGGCAAACTGGGTCCCTTGGCCAGTTGCTGTTTATATTGAAGCTGTCACAATGTTAGAGCTTGAAAGGGTAGTGGTGAGGGAGTGGGTAACTCCCGGAAAATGGTTGTGTATTTAGGATTTGCAGTTTGAGAAATGCTAAAAACTAAAATAATACCTTCAAATGAATAGCTATTAATCATAGAGGCATTTGTGTTTATTTAAAGACAGTACATCCTTTAAGAAAGAGGCATTTATGTCTGACAGTGCCTGATGCCCATTTGGGTTTCCAGTTGATAATGCAGCACTCAGGCTGAGCTCAGTGAGGAAATCAGACGGAGTCAGTTCTTCATTCCTCCTCCTGTCATCCCATAATATGGCAGAAGGTGTGTGTGTGTTAGAATCTGTGCTGATTAAAAATCTAGCACAGGATTCATATCTTGAAGGTCTTTAATTTTGTACTGTTTGAAGAAAAGGCCTTGTGTATTGGTGGTTTCCAGAAAGTATGGGTTGTTTTTAACAAATCCTGGATAATTTAAAAAACTTTTAGCAAATGAATTGCAACTAAGACCCCACCTTCTATCTTTTGGTAACATTGTACACTTTATCATTTTCTCCTTGGTTCCTAAGAGACAGGGACTGTCTTATAGTTCTTTTCTATAGTTACGCTCCTACTGTTGTTTTTAGACAGTATAGTTTCCTAGGCCAGAAAGCAAGTACATATTAACACTTTGTGGCTGTTTATGAGTCCAGTTTGTGGTATAAGTCCCACCCTTCCACCTCCTTATGTTAGAGAATGGATTGTTATCTTCATGTGTGACTTTCGGTATGTCCATTGCCAAAGTCCAGTGATAGTAAAATGAGGCCTTGAATTATAGCTGTCCTTCCTTTTAGAAATGCAAACCTGGGTGAGTTTAGTCTCAGCACTGGCTGTTATTAAGCTGTAAAATTTGGCTGGCATGCCCACCTGGTACAGAGCAGGGCGTCTGAGGATTATAATGGAATTCTTGTTAGTGTTCCAAAGTGTTCCAAAATGATAGTTAGAATTATAGGGTACAGTTAAGGAGATTCTTCCCATAGAAACACATTTAGATATATCAATCCTGTTTATGGAATTCTCATGATTTGTTTTTGTAGTCTAGTGAGGTCAGAACCAAGGCTGCATTTCTTTTAAGTAAGGAAGGCTCTTCCATTTTGTTTTAGAAGTCTGTAGGCCAGTAGTGTAGAGTATTCCAAAGGATGTGTATTGCATTTTATATAAAACACAAACCACTAACTTGAGTTAAAAGCTTTTTAGAAATATTCCCTAATAACTTTGCTGGGTACCATGGTTTCAAGTCAAACCTGCTGTGTTCCAGGTTATGCTGACCTGCTCGAGAGCCCAGCTGCAGACATCCAGCATTAGGTTAGAACAAAAAGCAGCTCTAAGATTCCCCCACATATTGATGTCCTCACCTACAGATGAAAGAGACTGCACCTGTCCAGTCTGGCTGACCACTCATTATCATTAGGAAGGGTGTTGATGACATTCGAGGGTCTGAACAGCATAAAGAGTCAAAACTTCAGATGGTTTGGTATGGAAGTTTATTTTTCATTCATTCTTCTCACACAGCAATGCCACCTGCATGGTGATCCAGTGACTAGGAGGTTTCGCCGTTGATAAATACACTGATGTCAGAAAGTTTGTTGGTAGACTAGTACCAGTGTTAAAAATTCTTGACCTCTCAGGTGTCTGGTAAATTGGACATTCAAAAGTATAGAGTTCTGAATCTGTCTGGTTAGAAGCATTGGGTGTTTCAGTAGAAATCTTGAAAGAGAAAAAAATCCAATAATGAAATTGCATAGTTCAAAACCAGTTAGCTCACATTTTCCCTACATGAAGTCCAGGGGATACAGTGAGGATTGAATGCGTAAGTTAATGTACTTGCACGTGGGGAATTTAATTTAGAGGAATTCCCATGGCTTTATAGTACAGAGAAATAACATTGGATGTTAATACAGCGTCTGTTTCAGATTTTAACAATCTCGGGGCTATTTTAAACGTGCGAGGTCTGAAGCTATCATAATTCCCTCTTGAGATTGCGGGTACCGGGGAGTAGGAGGAGAGGTGTGTCTTAGTGAGGGGGAGCTTAGAAGATCAGGACTTCCTGATGAACAGCTGGGCGATTACCTTTGTTGGCATAAAGTATATGTCGGGAAAGTCACAACACATTTCAAGAGGCAGCGAGTCTTCTAGTATATTTTGTTCATGATTCCATCGTGCTCCCTCAAGGAATAAGCCAAAAATATGAACTCCTTCATGAGAGGAATCCAAGCCCTGAGATGGAAGAGAGATGGTGTCAGCAGGTCCCCAGGCAGAAGCTGCCAGCCTAATAGGAACTCCCTGCGGAGATGCCATCCCAGGTGGGACCATCCCTGGTGTGTTGTCCCAAGTTTTTCCCATTCTGAGCATTTTGAATTGCAGGCTTTTGTCTGCCTTCTAGTGCTGATCCTGAATTGACAAGTATTTTCAGACAGGAAAACCCCATATTTCTACAATTGTAATCCTGAGCAGAGCTTCTTAGGAGAAATCAAGAACAGTTGTAAAATGAGCTCATTTTACTAGGCTCAAACTTTGTCACCTACCTCTACCATGGTGGCTACATTACTCAGCAGGGCTCTGAAAATTTAAAAGAGGCAGTGAAGGTTCTATATCATATCTGATTGAAATTAAATAAATCATTAAATGAATAATAAAAGGTGAAGTGAATTTCTGATGAGTGGTGTTAAGCAGAAAACCAGAGTTGCCAGCAGCTCCAATTCCAGGAGTGCCTGGGGGCTGTTGAAGCCACCTGCTCTTCTTCAGGTGTGCTGCACCTGAGGTGCTGAGTGGCCGAGCACCAAGCTGCCCAGGAGGCCTCAGCCTTCTATGGTCCGGCAGTTCTCTGAGGAGATGGATGGACACAGCTCTCCCAGACCAGCTTGTTGGCACAGAGATGAAGTGTGGAACAGCCTGTGCTGTGCTTGGTGACTCAGCTATCTACTCTGTGGATGTGACCTGCCTCGAGGTGCAAGGTGAATTCATATAAAGCACTTCATATTTTGGCTTATTCTATAAAAGACTTACTGGGAATTGTTTTGTGTAATGACTTTAACGTACAGGCTGTTTCATACACTGTGTTGACTCTAGTGTTGTCTTTTCATATACAACATGGGAGCAGTGACTCTCATGCATTCGACTTTGTTTATACTTGTGTGATTTGGACATGGAATGCATGGGTTTTTCAGAGAAAAGACATAATATGTAAGTAATTTGCAAACAGTCCATGATGAGGTGACTTAATTCTCACAAGAGCTAACCAAAGTGAATGAAAGGAATTTACCTAAATCAAATCTGATTCATGGGATAAACAGAAATAACTGAGAACATCTGATTAGATGGGTAGAGACAAAAAGCAAGTTTGGGAGGGCAGCCCACCCCCTGTGTCCCTGTGAGGCATGAGAAGAGGGCCCAGAGCAACATGCCTCCCTGAGCGTTGTGTCTGCTGGGTTGTGTAGGAAGGTGTTGGACAGGTTGAAGAGCAGGGTCAAAGCCATGGGGTCAAAGCCATGTCTGGGCTCTTTGAACCTTAATTCTGGCCTATAAAACTAACAATTTTTCATAAATAATGCAGGTAAAGAGCCTATGCGTCTCTGACACACGATAAATGCTGAGTGCAGGTTGGTAAGGGGCCTTGGTGCCATCATGACAGGTCAGGTAGGCTCTGACTTTCTGGAGGCCAGTGGCTTTGTGTTGTTCATCTTTCATTTCTAACAGCTAGCACAGTTTTGCACACATATTTTTGAGTGAATGAATTGATAAACAATTGGACAAATTTCAAGTCCAAAACACATCTGAACTTTAAATTTCTTCCACTTTGGTATCCTTGCCTAGTGGTCACTTTGTTTTTCCTAAACTTCCAGGAACAGGGCACTTACTGTCTACAAATGGATGCTGTGCTAACCACCATGGGCAATTTGGATCAAGTGGAGGCCCTGATGCTCAGTGAGTCCCCCCGGAAGCCTCTGTGGCTGGCACTCCTTTGGAGTTCTAGTAGATTTAGAGTCTAGTTCTTCATGCATCACCCCTTTAAATAGTTCTTCTCTTCTAAGTCTTTTCTAGAATGGAATCTCCCAGTATCATCCTTCTGAAAAGGTTTCCAACCTGCAATCACTCTAGATGTTCTCTGAGTCATTTCTAAGTGCAGTCTGATGCGTGCCAAGAAAAGGAAGACCAGGACTGGAGCAAGAGACCGAACAGCATGAGCCCTAGCCTCCTCCCATGACCCCAGATCCCCAGACACACTCATAACAGCACTGGAAACAAGATGTGTCCCTAGTAGACCAGAAATTATGAGATCTCTAAAGATGGATGATAGAATTAGATTAAGGAAATCAGGAAATCACAACCGGTAATGCACACAGTAAAACCTAAACAAAACAATATACCCTCCGTTCCCCCAACCCCACCCCACTACTGAATCCTATAAGCTAATCTTAAATATTGGTACAAAATTTTGAATAAAATATTATAATTAAGATGATTTGATCACTGTAAATCTTTGGATATAATTAAGCACATTGATAAGGGTTTTAAAAAGTCATGTGATTATTTCCAGAGATACCGAAAAGATCCTTCATTACATTTCGCTTTCATTCTTATTTAAAACAATCTTAATTTAGAAATTATACCTTAACAAAATAAAAGGATAAAAACTAGCTGATTATTTCAGTAGACATGGGAAAAGTGTTTAATAAATTCAATACCTACTTATGATTTAAAAAAAAATCCTTTTGACAAACTAGGACTAGGAGGCAACCTTCTTAATCTACAAAGAAGCCTATAATTGATGTAATACTTAATGGTGG